TTCCCCAGCCAGCATGGCTGGCTGGGGAATTCTGGGAGTTGAAGTCCACTCATCTTCAAGTTGCTAAGGTTGAGAAACACTGCTTTAGATGGATGTTCTGCTGGGAAAGAATGCTCAAAGTGGGTTATAGTTAGAATATGTACATCACAGATGGGGGTATGTGCAGGATATGGTTAAAATAAAAAAAGACAAAATGGCAGCCATAACCTGTGTTTTATGTGTGTTTGTGGACCCCTGGACACAGAGTTACATGAAATTTCTGGTGATTAAGTGGATACCACATCCATGCAGTTTTCTTGGCAAAGGATGTGATTCGCCACTGAATTCTGACATCTTAGTCTATCTTGATATCCCTGGGATTCCCTTGGGGTCTCCCATCCAAGTATGAACCAGGTCTGACCCAACTTAGCTTCCAAGGCCAGACATGGCCATCTAAGTGCTGCCATCTGCTGTATTATATAGATTATTAATAAATTGATTGATTGATTTTAATACACACACTGTGTGTGTTGTGTGCGTGTGTGCATGTATGTATAAACAATGAAAACAAATACTTGGATATGTCTTTATTTCTATCCCATTTTCAGGTTAATGGTTTTCCCAAGGCAGTTTTCATTGCGTGTAAAATACAATGAAGGTTATTTTAAAAGGACCTAAAATCTTTCCCACAGGGCCTTTGATGGTAGCATGTTAAATAAAGTGTTGGAGCAGATTGGGATCCAGAATAATAACTGGCCAGGGCAGTCTGGGTACTTCAGCTAAACTCAACATTCCCAGCCCTGCAGATGTTCTTAAGCTATGTTGGACTTCAGACCCCATAATTCGTGGCAGCTCATTCCAGAAGACTAATGATTTTGCTCTGATGTGCTCACAGATCCCACCCAGAACCTCAGTTTTGTGCTTGACCGACCGAACCAAGAGGTGAAGGAGGGGGACAACCTGACCTTGCTCTGCGAAGGCGATGGGAACCCACCCCCGGAATACACTTTATTCAGGACGGAGGTGAGCCTGCTGCCCCAGACCTGCCCCGAGTTACTTCCGACCACCGTTGCTGGACACGAGTAGCAGTTTCCTGCCTTTGTGAGATGGGAAATAAGTGCTCAAAAACTGCACTTGTATACCCAGAAGTGTATTTTAAAAAGGAGAGCAGCTTCCAACTTCGCTCAGACACTAACCCAAAAATCTTGAAGTGACCCCTAGCAATTCGGAGCAAATCACTGCAGTGTAACATGATGGAAAGTAATTGGTCATAGTTTTCAATTATCGGAGTCGACAAATCCGGGGAGGAGCGGATGGTCCCTTGTGTTCCTATTGTGAACAATTCCTTACCTTGTGGTATGGAATCCCCAAGACCTGCGCATGTGTCTTCGAGGCTTCCCTCTAAAATCATGAGGACTAGAAACTCTGATTGTCTCCTTTCTCCAATCTGTTGAGACCCCTTTGAGAGAGACGGTAAGGGCTGGGTTTGGGCAGACACTTGACTGGGTCCCTGAGCTGACAACTTTTCTGCCCAGAACACTGAACTGTCCTGGCAGGATTCATACATCACCTTGAAATTACTAACGATGGCTTAAGCTAACCACGTAAGATCGCGCGAATGCAGCCTTCCAAGCTTGACTGAGCTGTTTTTACCTGTCAGATGCGCCCTGTTGAATGGCTGACTGACTCCTGGGGGAACGGGAGATACAGTAGGGAACTGCTGACGGAGATCTTGATGCACCCCTTCCCTCCCTCTCTTCTGCCCTGGACAGGACAGCACATACTCGCCCCCAGACGGGAAGCTGTCCTTCCCCAGCGTCGTGAGGAACGACAGCGGTCTCTACTGGTGCAGAGCCCTTGATTTGCAGACTCTTGAGGAGCTAGTAGCCTCCGTGGACCTGTTGGTAAACTGTGAGTAAGCTCCCTGTGCTCATCTCTGATTTCAGAGGAAAGTTACAGACGCTGCTTCTTCGTAGGGACTTCCAGGCCCCGATTCCAAATTTCATCCACTTGCATTGGTGGCAAAGTGTTTCTCAAAGAGGGAAGGCTTTTTTTCTCCGTTGTGGCTGCTGCTGCGTTATTAATAAATCACTGGCAGATCGGTTAATTTTGCAGTTGATCGGAAGGAAAATAAATATTTGCCAGCCCTTCGAGGTGGGCCAGATCAAGAGACAGACACCGCTGGGATTCCAGGAAGGCTTCTGTAGTGTTGTAGGGCATTTCAAAAGAGCATTTTGAAAGCCTGTCCTTTTTTATCCTAACAAAATTAGGGTGGGGTTATTCTGAATATCTTTCGCATGCCGGCTTCAATCTCTGGACTGCGTAATCACTCCTCCGAGTCCCTCCTTAGCAGTTCTTCCATACAGAGTCATCTCCAGATTTCTTCGCAGTATTCCAGAGGATTTGCTTGTGCAATACCTTCTGGACTGAGCCAATCTCCCTCAGCTCCTCCTGGAGAAACACAGAATTTTGCACATCTCCGACCAGAGTGCATAAAAAGGCATCGTGGGGCAGCCAGAACGGGGGGATTAGTGCTGGCCCCAGAAATGAGAAAAGCACAGCAGAGTTCCTTAGGTGAAAAAACCAGCGTAGAACTCTTCAGAGTCAGAAACGTTTCACGGCCTAAGCGTTGTGAACCAAAGTCCACCGTAGATGTTTGCTGGAGCAACCAGAACATTTGTTAATGCAGCTGCCCCCCCATCTTTCCTTTGAGAGTTCAGAGTGTCGTGCATGGGGGGTCTTTCCTCATTCCAGCCCCACAATCGCCCTGCAAGATGGGTGGGACCAAAGGGAAGTGGCCCAAAGTCATTTTGGGAGCTTGGCATAACCCTGCAGGAGTTAGAAGATGTTTTTCACAAGACCCTGGTTTTGTTCCCATTGTTGGGGAGGGAGAGAAGTAAGTGGAGCAGATAGAGTGGGGGTGGGAACCCCCCAGAAGGGTCCAGATCCTGCTTTGGAAGGCTCAAATGCAGGGCTAAGGAGCCCCAGACCTGTGGGCTGGGTTGGCACAAGTTGGACCTGGGTAAAGTGGGGCTGCGTCTTCTGTGGGTCAGCACTGTGTGGTTATCCATGGAGCGGGAGGGGGCGTCAAGGTGGTGACTGCACGATCAGAGCCCTGCCTCTTTTTATGTGTGTGGCAATGCATGAAAAAGGGGCGGGGCTTCAGTCAAATAGCCGTGGGTGCCATCTTGACTTTTCTGACCCCCATGGGTGCCCCGGGTTAACCCAGCCATTCTCTCGGCAGACTGTGCCTAGATTATCCCATCACTGGGCTGTTTCTCTCCTCCAGACCTCGACGTGCCCTCCATCTTCCCCGCTGAGCCCCAGGAACCAGCTGCTGGGGAAGACCTGCTGCTGACCTGTTCCGCAACAGGGTCCGGCCCCTTGAAATTCCAGTGGCAGCAGGTGCGTCTCTTGGCTGTGGAGCGGCAGGGGTGCCCAGCGGGGTGGGCACCTGTGGAGCAGAGGTGGGCTGCAGCTGACCATGGGGGGGCAAACGGGGTGGCGGGCAGGGCAGCGGTGCCAGATGGGCGGGGGGCGCCCTGCACTTTGTGGAAGTCAGGAGGAGGTGGTGGGTTGGAGGAAACCAGGTTGGAGAGGACGATGGAAAGAGCCGGCAAAGTTCTCAGGAGGGGAGGAACGAAAGCAAGGAGGAGCGACACGGCAATCTTTTTGTTCTAGGGAGGGAAGCCCATTGCGGACGGTGCCATCCTGAACTTGACTAACCTCTCCTACAAGAAAACGGGTAACTACACCTGCATGGTGACGATGCCGGACTTCCCCGATTTGGCACGCACCAGGCACATCTCGGTTGCTGTTCGAGGTAGGTCCTGCCTGGCTCCCGCCAGCCCTTGCCCTCTCCAGCACTCCTTGGGCGGTAAGGCAGCGCCCAGCACCTGCCCTTTCTCCCCCTGCAGCAAGGCCCGAAAAAGCGGTGCGCAAGCAGACGTTGACAGTGCAGGAGGGGGAGACGGTGGACCTGACGTGCAGCTTCTACTCGGTGCCTCAGCTCAACATCACCTGGAGTATAAGTAACGAGACGGTAAGCGGGCCCCTGACGTAAAGAAGATTTGGGACTGTGTTGAATGTTAGCAGGATAATTCTCCCCAAACTGGATCAAATTAGGGGTGTGAAGAGAAGCCAACAAAAGAAACTGGGCTCGAAACTGGGATGGCTCTAGCTGCAACTCTTGAGATAAATACTCTGGTGCGAAAATACCCCCCCCCAATGCCTCCCTGTTAGAGAGGCAGTGGGGCAGAGGTTTGGGGCACCCCTCCATTCCAAGCCCCCCTTCCAGAGGGGTCTGCTATGAAGAGGTCGGACATCAGGCACTTCCTTTTGGAAAGGAGCCCCTTCTCAAAAGCTGTCAGGCCTAGCCCAAAGAACTCCTGGAGACG